TCCATTCAAAAATGTTATTAAAAAGGCATGTAAACCATAAGAGATGACTATTGAGGTCTATTCTCAGGAATGTTAGTGTTATATCAAATAGTGAATTCTACTGCAGCAGAATGTTGCAGTAGAATTTGCAGTCTGCACAGTGTTATATTTTCACCGCTCAGTGTCAGTTATTGTGCGGTTAGTATTGGACTACAAGATAAATGCAACAAGCCTGTACAGGTAGAGTTATTTAAAGCATAAATGAGTCGGTTGGGTTCTGGAGGTGTGGTTACAGCATTGTGCTTGGTTGGCGCGGCCTGTGCCTGGTGGTGGGGCCCAATGTGATATCTTTTCATGGGGCCCAAAATCCCTGGCGGCGCCCCTGCCTGCAAGGTGAATACAGCTGGTAGAAGAAAAAGTGTTTGAATGCGTACATTAACAGGTTTATGATATCACTGCCCCGTCCAAGACACGAGTGGATCTGACTTTAATTACATTTGACTCGAGTGTTTCGTCAACTTAATGTGTTGCTTAAAATAATACTTCTGCATACAGTATGTGACACTGTAAGTGTTGCACGGCCAGATACGGCTCAAGAAGCTGACTCAGATAAGGAAATATATGATAGGCTGCATTATGATGTGATATGATGTGATATGAATGATTATGGGACACATTGACGTCTGCACTCACAGTTCCGCGGACTGTAGGCTACGTAATGTTACGTTTATGTTGTGGCAGATATTTAAGTAAGCTTTCTTAATGCTAATGTTATAATAGTCAGATTGCTCTGAAGATGGGAGGTGATATTCTATTCATTTTCACATTCACACAGTCGGTGATTTGAACTACAATAGAATATCACCTCCCATCTTCAGAGCAATCTGACTATTATAACATTAGCATTAAGAAAGCNCGGTGATTGGTGCGGGTGGGGATGGATAGGAGGTTGGCTTCTGATGAGCGGAGGCAGCGGGAAGGGGTGTGGTGGTTTAGCAGGTCTGTGAGGTAGGGGGGGCCTGATTGTTGAGGGCTTTGTAAGTAATGAGGAGGACTTTGAAGTGGATTCTTTGACGGACGGGGAGCCATTGGAGGTTCTGGAGGATGGGAGTGATGTGGTCTCGGGAGCGGGTGTGGGTGAGGAGGCGGGCAGCAGAGTTCTGGATATGTTGGAGTTTATTGAGGAGGTTGGATGGTATGCCGTAGGATGCTATTGCAGTAGTCGAGTCGTGATGTGATGAATGCATGAATCAGAGTTTCAGAAGCAGAGGAGGAGAGTGATGGGCGGAGACGGGCAATGTTTTAGAGGTGGAAAAAGGCGGTCCTGGTGATGTGATTGATGTGGTGGTTGAATTTGAGCTGACTCCGAGGTTGCAGATGTGAGGGGGGGGAGATAGAGTGTGGCTGTCAATGGTGAAGTTGAAATTCTGGATGGCTTTGGTATGGGATGGGGGGCCGATGATGATGATGTCTGATTTG